ATTATTGTGAAAAAGGTACCCCACTGTAAGCAAGCTTTAATTCTGGGGTCCTGAAATCTTAATTCAAAGAGATGACAAATCACTTTGGTATATTGCACAATTGCTACCTTTATATACATATACAACACAACTCTGCTTGGTTTTGAGCAGTGCTCAACAATAAAATATATCAAAATAGTACATGATAACTTTTATGCATGTTATATATTTATGCAACCATAGTTTAACGCAATGTTTGTATATAGAAACAATAGTACCGATAATATATTATATCCATACTCACGTTTTCATTTGGTGTCTCATGTATAGTTTTTCCTTTTTCTGATGCTGCTTCATCAACAGAGTTATAATAATCATCAAGCATTTCTCCAACAGAGCCATAGTTGTCTACTGTTTTCATAAAAATTGTCTCTGCCATTGACCTCTCATAGCTTTCAGTAGCATTACCTATTCAGAAGACGTTTTGATTATGTTCTTTCCCATTTATTTATCACTAAACTTATTAATTATTTTGTTTTATTTCATTAAAAATTAAGATATATTGTCTTCGAAATACATCTGAGAACAAACCATCAAGTACATCACAGTTCAACTAAAACATTTATTTTTTTTTATTGTTCCCGTATTAGCTAGAAAAAAAATTCTAAAAGAATAACCTCAACGACTGTAATAATAAAAGAAGTAATATTAATTTTATTTTTATCATTTATATTTTTCCTACATTAAATTTTATTGATATTTTTAAATTACAGTACTAATGACTATGATTTATAATAGGAATTATATTGGCAACACTGATATTAATACTTATTATGTTTATTGAACATTAATGGTAATAAGTATTTAACAATTATTGTGATTTGTTGTCTTACCAACGTTAGTAAGATTTTCACTCCATTCGTCAGTTTTATTGGTTGTCCTGGTTATAATCTTAGTGGTTGCTATTCCATCTGTAATTTTTTCGTCTTCGTTAAATCTGCAGTAATTGTGATTGATAAATATTGATGTCTTGTAGATTCTCAGAATATTTTTATTTATTTGCTGCAGACATATTCATCATTCATCATTATATCATGTATTAATGTCAAAAATTAAACACTGACACTTAATTTTCAAAAAAAAAAAAAGAAAAAAAAAAAACACAAGCTTATCAACAAGTCATGAACTTATAAATAAATATATTCTATTTACATATTTTATACTTTCCATACTAATTTGTATCTTTGTTAAAAATTTTCACTCTTGCCTCTGCCCAGGACTCAACTTCCACAACCCCAGAGCTGATTTCCCTTACATTGGTTTCACCAGTGGGGATAATTCAATGATTTTAATAGTTAAAAGTAGGACAATCTAGGCCTACGTGTGAGCACTGCGTTTCTATTTTGTCCAGGTCAAGAGGCACCTGATCACAGAAAAAAATCAAGATTAAAGCAATGCTAACTGGACCAACAGTTCAGGCCCGTATCCAGGGGGGGGGGGGGGGGGGGGTGGGGGGGGGGTGTGTCCCCCCCCCCCTCGAAAAACGTCCACTAATTATAACCAAAAAAAAATGTGACCTTGTTCCTAGAATCATTATAAAATGAATCACATAACAGTACAGTATTAAGATTGTATGAATGTACAAATGAGTTACAATAAGAATACTAGAGCACTGACTCCACACGTGCAATCTTTTGTACTGCCAGCAACATAACACAACAAACATACAAACGTTATATGCACGTTATCGTCTAGGTGTATCTTCCCCTAACTACCAGCTGGTATGTCAGTGTATATCAATGAAGTCAAAATGCTAAAATGACACCCCGGTTTAGACAAATATAATCGTTCCTAGCGCTCTCAGAAATACCGAGACGAGTATACTCGACGCTGGAGTGCGCACGTGTTAAAAAATGGTTACAAATTTATACAGTAGTATTTTTCATTTGGGAAACAATTTGCTTGTTTCTCCATGTCCTCCACTGGTAATTTTTTGATAGGCGCTATCGCTGCGTTCACGGACATATAGAGAGTAACATGATAAAATGCCTTCAAATTAGTCTACTAGGACTAAGAAAGCAAAATTTTCCAGGGCCTTCGGCCCCTGGACCCCGACCGGGGGTCCTGGGCGGCCTCCAGCCTGGTTGTTCGCTGCGCTCGCATAACGCTCCCCCCCCCCATTCAAAAAGCTGGATACGGGCCTGCAGTTGGATTTAGAGAGTATTGAGGATCTGCTGTCTCTGGCATACCTAATATACTTGGAACAATATCTGCAGAAACGCTATGCTTTAATGCAAAAGCAGATCCACGATGATAATAAGGAGTACACAAACACAGATCTTCCTGTTGGTGGCGACTGTGTGGCCCCCATGCTTCGGTGGTAGCTTGGCGTTTTTTTGTTTGTTTGTTTTTTTGTTTTTGTTTAATTACTCAGCCTTTTGCCATTTTTTCGTTGTCTTCTTACCTATTGCACAGAAACCTTGTTTATTTGCGCTATATAAATCCATCATAGTCGTCAATTTTTACTATTAAACATATTTTCTATTACTTTTTATTTCTTTGGAACATATTTTTTGGAGATTTATGTTATAGAAAAGGAGTTGCTGTAGTGCCGGGGTGAATATGTGCCCGTTATTGAGTCCTCTTTTTATCATCATCATCATCATCATCGTCACCGCCATTATTATTATTTTATGTCACAGTGATAATTTCTAATGGCTATAGAACATGATTGTTGCTATTTTCTTCCATTTTTATTTATTATCTTAATATATAATAATTATACATTTGCTTACTTTTTACCAAGGCAGGAATTTATGAGGCAGGTTTTACCCGCTCTTTCTTGTCCTATCACCTTAATTGTTCCAAGATTCACCTCAACAGTGCCGTCTTCTAAGGCTTCAGTGTAAGCTTTTACAGACGATGGTCCATGAGTTTGAATTATTGATGGAATTGCACTTTCTAATAATGAATGATTTAGAGAGAAAAAAAAATGAAGAATCATATCACATACAGTAATGCATGTACACTATCCCCATCTGCAATGAATTTTGGTGCAAATGAAAAAATATTATAGAACGAACATTCTTTCTTCAGGCTTAGTTATTGCTTTTATAAATATTTAGCTTTTGTAAACCTTTTACAATAATTGTCAAAAACTGTGCAAGATTTATTACTTAATGCAACAAAATCTCAACAAAAAACAATAATGTTGGCTGTTTAGTACAAAATCCATGTGTCATAATTCTTACAAAATGTAAGTTCCTTTTTTAGAATGGTAGATTCTTCTATTCTGATTTTATCGAATGCTTTACAGTTTAGTAAAAAATGTTTGCTATCTTCAATTTCACCACTTCCACATAATTAGCAAAGATCTGATACATTATTAGACTGCTTACAGGGCTTGCAATCTAGAGGTAGTTTGTTAGACCTCAGTTTAATTTCAGACTTGCACTATAAAAATCTGTTTTATCTAGTAATAATTTTTGTTGGGTGAAGATTATAATTTGGAATATATATGTTGTATAAAGATGTTTTTTGCTGTATATTATTTGACCATTCTATCTATACGGTTCTGACACAACAGTGGTGACTGAAAAAGAAGTAAAAGCTGAATTATCATTATCAAAAACATGGTTATAAATCACATGTTCATTATACGATGGTTATAAATGTCTAAATTTGTAGATTTTGCAAGTATGTCATTGTCAGTACAACAATCCCGAGAAATATGTATAAAATAAATACTGAAAAAGAAGTAAAAGCTGAATTATCATTATCAAAAACATGGTTATAAATCACATGTTCATTATACGATGGTTATAAATGTCTAAATTTGTAGATTTTGCAAGTATGTCATTGTCAGTACAACTATCCCGAGAAATATGTATTGTTTGATTTGAGTTTCTATTTGAGTCTTAAAATAATGTGTCTGGTCTTGTGTTCAAAACTGGATTGAAATTATTATAATTAATTATTATTATAATTTTATTGGTATATCATTCTGTGACTATATTAGTTTAAATACAGCTAAACATTGGCACCGGTCATTTTTCCAACTTTTTTTGTTAAAGGTGGCTACGTCTTAAAGCTCTTGTAAAACTTATTGTAGCCTCCTTCCATACAATGTATTTGTTTCAATTTGCATTCTTATATACTGTATTACTGTATTGTATGGTAAATAAATTCATATTTGATTGATTGATCATTTATCTATATTAAACATATCTGTCATACTATCACCAACTTCTAATTTTGCTTTAACGTCATCGTATAATGAGCATATGATTCTCAAACTTTTCTCTCGTATGGATGCCTATATCCCAAGTGGATTTTAGGATCATCTCGCCATTCACTATCAAATGCATTTCGGAAATCCAGGAAGGCCAGATGTGTAGTTTTACCTTCAATTGAATGGCAAGATAAATACTTTTTAATGTAATGATGTGTTCTTCACCCTCCCTGGACTTCCGAAAGTACCTTTTCTTTTTCAAAGAAAAAAGATATGTGCAATGCAATTACTATGTTAACAATTTTTGAGAAACAGTATATAACCATAGTCCACCAGTGTAAACATAATATGGTACAATATTTTCTTACCAGAAGGTGTAAAATCGATTGCCGGAAGTTGCCCACCTTAAAAAGATAAACACATAATCATATTGTAGAATAGACATACATCATCATTTGAAGAAATTCTAGAATCTAGAACTGGTTGAGGTCTTAGTAATAGCCAATGTCAACAGACAATATTTAATGAATAAATGACAGATTGACATAAGACAGAATAGGGGAGACGTAGGAGCATTGTCCGTTTTACCCACACATTATCATTTTATATATTTCATCGCAATTAATTTAAAAGATAGAAAAGACAGAAAGACAGTACCCTTGTCGTTGGCAGGTTGAACGAAAAACAAACAAAAGTTGTTGTGAATCTTTTTTCTTTCCTCCAACAAGGGTATACAGCATATTGTCTATTGTCCGTGTACTGCAAACTCCACTTTGTTGCTAATTTAAATTCAGTTCTTTTTATTACCAGAATAGCAGTTAAGGTAAAGGAACTGCTTTTTTACCTTTCAATATCAGTAATAACTCCTCTTTCTGTAAACATCCACGTTCTGTTTCATACCTCTTACACTCGCATTCTTCATACAAGTCAAGTACAGTTTTGCCATCCTTTAAAATACATAAATTTATATAAATATTTGAATATCATTTACTGTACTGTGATTTCCAAACTGCAACCTATAAGCTTTTCTTGCTTAACAATAGCAAAACAAAAATAACAAATTGTTCCCTTTAAAATCAAAACACTCTCCGATCACATATAAAAAAGCAATGACAAAAACCTGATATTACACTTAGAGTTCTGTGTTAAAGACATGTTTTATCATTCCACAAAAGAATTTATTAATGGATTATTGGTAATAAATAAATTACTGTTTTAGTTAATAGTATGGAAAAAAATGTAACAAAGATATCCTTAGACAAATATCTGGAAGAATGCTTTTTGAAGTGAAACATACTACGACGTCTGGACTTGATGGCATACTTACATTGTTTTTGATGGATATTATGCTTGGATCCGTCATCATCAATGCTACAGTAACGTTTCTGTGATGATCATAACTTAGATCTTGATTCAGGAAGCAGGCATGCAGAGGCGTGTTACCGTTCTGACAGTTTTGATTATAGAACATAATAGAGACCATATTAATAACTAAGAATGGACATAATGATGGTGGGTTTGCAATCTTCTATTTTAATTTTGGTTAGAGACAATAAATAGTAAATTAATGTTATACAATAAGTATGTTAATACTTTTGTTAGTTACACTGGAGATGTATTCCTTCTATTGAATATGCATCAACTTTTGCCAAACCGGTCCATGGGTGTATCCAAGGGGGGTCGGGAAGGTCGTACGACTCTCCCAAAATTCCAAATTTTTTCCAAAGACATTTTTTTTCTAGGGTCTTTTCACAATGACATAAATGAAAAAGCATTGATGAGTTAGCAGCAATGAGTCCACAGACCTTGCCAATTGCGTGACGTAATCTATCTCAATTCCAGCAATTCTGAAACTGGTGAGCCTGCCATCCCATTCAAGCTGGTGGCACTGTAATCGATTTTCCTGTCTCCCACCGGAAAAGGTCCAAATTATGATCACAACCCACCCAGAAAAAATCCTGGATACACCCTTGCGGTCTATTAAGAAGCAACCAAATCAGCTCAAACCAACCAACTGTTCAATGTGTTATATTCCTGGATTCTAAATAGCTATTTGTTTAAATACAATTATGACACGACAATGTACTTAATACTGAAATGTTCTGATTTTCAGACTTTCTCTTATCTGAAATATAAGTTTCAAAGTTTGGATGCCCTACCTTTGACTGGCGAATTGATGCCCCTGTGTCTAATAGTAGCTTAACCACTGATGAATATCCCCAGTAAGCCGCTGTATGTAACGCTGTCTCTCCATACTTAAAACAGTAAAAGTATGTAGAATGTAAATTACAAAAACACAAGTAAGTGGTATGATTTGCAGGAAAAAAAATGTATATGATCATAGAATCAACAACGCATGACCTGTTTTCATACATTGCAATATAATTCTTGATATTCAAAAACTGATGACACATGTCCATGTAAAATACTGTAACAAAAATGGGCTCACCCATGTTACCTCCTAACCCAATAGAAGGCCACCCCAAGAAGTGTGCCCTGATTGGTTAATTGACACATGGGATGTTTCTAGATAAACATTCCAGAGGAGGAAAAGTGGCACTCGATATCTGGATCTGGTAAAATATGGACGTTTTAACCAGAAATAGCAACTAGGCTAAGCTGATAAATCTAAAAATTAACATAACATTGACCCTCTTGAATTAATTGAATATGCATCTAATACCTTCTTAAATTCCAACAATAGCTGTGTTAGTATTGACAACAATAGTAATACTAATAGTAACAATGATTACAACATTAGTGATTTTGGTAGTAGTAGGGATGGTGCTAACAATATTAATAAAGGTAACAACGATGATGGTGATAACAATGACGGGGATAATTATAATGACAATGTTAATGACAAAGACACCCAGAATAACAATAGTAATAATGGCGATAGTATAAATAATGACAACAATAATAATACTAGTCTCCATAAATATAAAGGATTTAAAATAGGTCACCTAAATATCCAAAGCTTACGTAATAAGGTTGACCTACTCAAGGCATTTTTATATGATTGTAAATTTGATATTTTCTCAATATCTGAAACCTGGTTGAATGGTAATATTGAAGACAATGAAATCCTTATTGATGGTTTTAAGATCTGCAGACTTGATCGTCAGTTGAAACCTGGGGGTGGTGTTCTCTTTTACATTCGAGATGGCCTGAATTTTAAGGAGATATCAGAATTTAAAATTAACGGAATTGAAGCTCATTGGATCAAGGTTAATTTACCACACACTAAACCACTTCTTATCGGAACTGTTTATAGACCTCCAAATTCAGATGCTGAGTATCTTAACCAACTTGACACAGTTTTTCAAAATTTTACATCAATGTATGAAGATGTTGTTATCCTTGGGGATTTTAATCTCGACATAACTAAAAAAACAAACAAACAAAAAATTTCTAACTTAGCTAAACATAGTAATCTTCATCAACTAATTAAGGATTATACAAGAATAACAAATATTAGTAAAACAATTATTGATTTAATATATGTTAGTAATCTGAATAATTCAACTGCTGGTGTGAAAAGCTTAGGAATCAGTGACCATTCTCTCACTTACCTAATTCGAAACACTATTAAAATTAAAATTCCACCAAAAATTATTAAAGTCAGATCTTTCAAAAATTTTAATGAAAATGAATATATAAATGACCTCAAAAAAACTAAATGGACACAAATTAAACTCTGTTCTGATGTTGAAAGTGCTTGGTCTATTTGGAAACATTTATTTAGCACCATTTAGCACCATCAAATAACTCTAATGATTGGGAACAAGCTAAACATTTAAGAAATAACTCAATAAATACTTAAAACAAAAATACTGTTCTTCAGCTATTAATAATAATGCTAATAATCCTAAAAAGATTTGGAAGATCATTCGTGAACTAATTCCTCACATAAACATAATATTGAAAAAATTTATAAAAACGGAGAATTTTCTAAGAATGATCGTGAAACAGCAAATGAATTCAACAAATTTTTTACATCCATAGGTAACTCTTTAGCGACACAGTTTTGTGATAATCCGCCCTTATTTTTTACTAACAATAATAATAACAGTAATATTCCTAATTCCCATAATAAAAATTTCACTTTTGACCTAATTGAACCTGTATTTATCTTAGATGAAATTTTAAAATCTTCCAACAATAAAGCTACTGGTCTAGATGGTTTAGATACAAAATTGTTGAAGCACGCTGCCCCTTTAATATGTGATTCACTGGCATATATTTTTAACCTACAGTATCTTTCTTTACCTCCACATTCCCTTTGGAATGGAAACAGGCAAAGGTTACACCCATCTTCAAAAAAGGGGATCGTGCTGATACAAACAATTATCGACCTATTTCAGTATTGCCGTTAATCAGTAAAATCATTGAAAGAGCTGTTTATGAACAGTTGTATGGTTATCTTACGACTAATAACTTTTTAAACAATGCTCAATCAGGTTTTCGTAAAAACCATTCTACTGCTACAACACTTATTGATGTTTCCGATTACATTTTAGATAATATTAATGAAGGTAGAGTGACTGCTGCTATATTTGTTGACTTAAAAAAGGCTTTTGACATGGTGAATCACCAACTACTCATTAACAAGTTGCACCAATTTGGTCTTGATTCTATGTCTTTAAATTGATTTAAATCATATTTATCTTGTAGATCACAAATAGTCCAAATCAACTCAACACGCTCAGATGCTATGGACATTGATATTGGAATACCCCCAGGGTTCAATACTAGGGCCTTTACTTTTCAATATCTATGTGAACTCCCTCCCTGATATAATTAAAGGTAAATGCGTAATGTACGCAGATGACACAACGATTCTCTGCAGCTCCTCTAATCCCACTGAACTTCAAAATGAACTTCAAGCAAACCTTAATTATATTAGTCAGTAGTTCAATAAAAATAAATTGACTTTAAATATACAAAAAACTAAATTTATGATATTTGGAACACCCCATGTGCTTCCTAAATTTTCTAATATTTCTCTTATCCATGGGAATATTAACATTGAAAAAGTAGATTGTTTTAAATATCTTGGCGTGTACTTTGACTCCAATTTAAATTGGGCTACACATATCGAAAATATTTCTTCAAAAGTTTCTAAAAGAATTGGTGTCCTTCGCCGTGTCAAACAGTTCCTACCTTTCAACACAACTAAAATGTTAGCAAATACACTTGTAATGGCTTTATTTGATTATTGCAGTTGTATTTGGTCTAACACTACAACTAATCTTTTAAATGAGCTCCAAATTCTCCAGAATAGGTTAGGAAGAATTATTCTTTCAGTCGACATTAAAACACCCATCAAGGATTTAATGGATGATTTAGGATGGAATAGGTTAAATGATAGGTGGAAGGAACACCTATTATTATTATTATTATTAATTGCCCCATCCTACCTATGTAACAAATTCATTTTTAATCAAAATAGCCACTCTCAGTGCACTAGGAATAAATCTAACAACACCTTGATGGAGATAAAATGGAAACTCACTCAAGGCAAGAGAACATTCTTACACCGTGCAACTAAGGCTTGGAACGAACTTCCAAACAAATTAAAATAGAATTAAATGATCTCCAACTTAAAAATTTCAAAACTTTGATCAAAACAGAAAACTAATTATATCTTTCTGACCACCCTCTGTTCTCTTGCCTTCTTTTTAATTCTTTTTACTTCTTTTAATTCATTTGAATTGGTTCTTTTTTATTTTAGTTAAGTTTCTGTATATTTTTTTTATGTTTGTTTTTGTTCTACTTTTTGTTCATGTGATTCACTAGTGAGATCAGTGCTGCGTCACTGAAAGTGTTATCACGTTAAAGGCAGAATAAATAAATAAATAAATAGGCCTATTTATACGGGTATATTGAATTGTACAGTTTTTACTATTATCTGTGAGTACAATAAAAGAGTCTGTTGGCTCTCTGAAGAGAATACATAGTTTATTATTCTGTTCTTGTTATTTTATTTCTTAATAATTAATTTAAGTCAACGTAATAACACCGTTGCCTGACCCACTGCCAGATCGATGATCGGAAGAAACAACAATGTTACAATACATTAGCAGCTGTAATGAGCACACTTCCTTGGTATCACCTATGCTATGCTACAACTTAAAATAGAAAAAGCTTATAAATGGGTAAGTTGACAAAATATCAACGGACATTTAAAGAAATAAAGTAAAAACAAAATAAGGATTATAATGACACTACTTATTTAGGCATTTAGATCATATTTTTGGATACTTAAATATTGAATCAAGTTAAAAATTCCATTGGAAAAAAAAAAAAAACCACTATGTATGCAATTAAAAGATCATAAGTATTCATTCATAGTGACAACCATAACTATGTGAACAAGAATCAATGTTCATTCAAAAAACTCATACTTAACAGATTCAGATTCAGATTCAGATATTTATTACGTCAAAATGTCAATGCATCATGATAATTGGTTTCCATGGTTAAAAAATACAAATAAGACTTATTATATCTCTACTAAATACTCGGATGATGACAATGTTAAAATATTGATTCATTGAATTGGGCTAAAAAGAAAGATTGCACATATATGAGTTGCGAGAAGTATACTTGGGGCCTATAAAAGCTTAAAAGAGATGAATTAAAAACTTACTTATACATCAAGCCCTAAACATCTAACATGGCAAAATCACCTTCTAAAGAGTTCGTTAAACAACCTAATTGCATAAGGAAGGAAGGATTTATTATGTCGCTCTGTGCGTTTACTTGAAGGCACCATTCCACCAGATCTGCTGAATTTAACATACTTGTTGAGAGGATGTGAAATATCATTTGCAATAGATTTAACTTTCTTTAGGCATACCTCCTCACATGTTGTCCTGATTTCCGGCACCTGTTTATCAATAACTTTGCTGCCATTTTTTGTTATCTTTGCAAGTTTGTGAACATTCTTTTGGGAGAGACCCATAAACCATATTATACTACAAAATGTAATAATAGACTTGATCATTGACTGATGGAACAGAAATAGTGCATCTCTACCTACATTCAAGTTGAGTTTACTATGAAAATATAATCTTTGATTTGCCTTAGTGACCACCTTAACCGTGTTAGTATTCAAGTAAAGCTCTTATTATCAACCCATACACCGAGGTATTTATATTCATTGATTACATTTATTTCCTCGTTATCAATTCTCAGTTGCAATAATCTAGATTCTTTCCTTCTAAAATCAAAAATCATTTCCTTGGTATTGTTTACATTTATACAGAGATAATAAACATTGCACCATTTTACAAGATTTTCCACTTCTTTTCGATAGCAACTATCGTCATTTTTCGTTATCAACCCAGTTAAACAAGTATCGTCGGTAAATTTAACAATATAACATAAATCATGAGAAGTTTTTAAGTTGCTTGTGTACAGAGAAAACAACAAAGGTGAGAGAACACTTCCCTGCGGTGCACCTGTATTAGACACAATAACATCAGATAACGCATTGTTTATCCTAACTTGTTGGATTCGATCTCTTAAAAAGTTACCGATCCATAAACAAATGTATGGGTTAACATTCATTGTTATCAGCTTTTGGATATGCGGCTTAAGTGTATTAAAAGCTGAAGAGAAGTCAATAAATAAGGATAAGGTTCTTGCATAACAGTTTGGCTTATCTTAAAATTCATATATAGGATGTAGCAAAGTTGCAAAAGCATCATTTCACTTATATTACTACAATACGCAAATTGATTTGGATCAACAAAATATTTCGTTTCTTCTACTAACAACTCTCTTTTAATCTTTTCAAAACATTTAACAATAATTTGCGTAAGTGCCACTGGCCTATAATCATTAAGAACTCTAGGTTTTTGACACTTTCTTAAGTGGAGTTACTACTGAGGATTTCCAAAGCTTAGGCACAGATGATGATCATAAAGACCAGTTAAATAAGGTACAGAATACCGACGCCAATTGACTGGAACATGTTTTAATTAGTTTGCCTGATAAACAATCGGATCCAGAAGCTTTCTTAGTTTTAACAGACCTGTAAGACTTCTTGACCGTTGATTCATTTATTACAATTTCATCATAAATTTTAATTTCCTCTAAACATTCATTTATTAACCTAGTATCACTTGTATCAGAACTATTTCCAACATCAAAACGATTAAAAAAGAATTATAGTTCATTTGCAAAGTCTGTTGATGGTTTTCCTATTTGTAACTGCATTGTTCCAGTTTTCTTATCCCTACCGATTACTTTCTTTACTCCTTTCCATGCTTGCTTAGAATTACCATTTTCAAAATCATTTTTGATTTTTTCATCAAATTTTCTTTTAGCATGTAACGGATGTGTCAATTGATTTCCTTCTGTAAGCATTTTTTCTTGTGCATATCGTTTTCCTGGGCTGCTTTTTGTTTTTAATTTGATAAGGTTTTAATTTCTTTTGTTATCCAGGTTTTACTATTTGGATACAACTTGATTGTTTTTTCTTTTATGATGTTGGTTTCACAGAAACGTATATATACTCACTGATGGACTCAGCCACTGTGTCAATAGAGTCGGACTCAAGAAAAATGTCCCAATTAGTGGCTTCGAGACATCCTTGTAATTCCTCTATGGTATCATGTGACCAGACTTTTACTTTCCTAATGATTGGTTTCGATTGGTTTCTGCTTGTATTCGGGAATGAGGTGAATCATTTTATGGTCTGATTTACCAAGACCCGCTCTAGGTACTGCTTTGTAAGCGTTTTTAATGTTATAACATTTATCTAGGATGTGGTCACCCCTTGTTGCGAAATCAACATATTGATAGTAATGTGGTAACACTTTTTTTAAGATCACATGAATTGAAGTCACCGACCAGTATTTTGACGGTGTCTGGAGATGGTGACTCTAAATCATTACAAATGTCTTGGATGGAAGAAGCAGCTTGTTTTATATTTGCCTTTGGATGAATATACACAGTAATTAGAAAGATTTGGTTAAATTCACGTGGAAGGTAAAATGGTCGCAGCGAAATAGTTAAAAGTCGGGAGTAAATTGTCGATATTTACCAGTCACATTATTGCACCATCTGTTATTTGTGTATACACAAACACCACCACCTATTGATTTCCCCGAATTTGCTGTTCGATCACATCTTAGACATGAGAACCCATCGATATCATGTAGTTGTCAGAGCTTTTGAACCACGTTTCAGAACAACATAATAGGTTGGCTTCACGGAAATCGTTAAGGTGAACTGTACAAGCTTGTAACTCATCTAACTTGTTTCTTAATGACTGTGTGTTTCCGGTTAAAATAGATGGTAAAGGTGGGCAAAATGTACGACGACGTAATCTTACTTTAAGACCTCCTCTTTTTCCCCATTTTCTTCTTGGATTTGATAAGTTTTGATCATCGGAGAATATGAGCGGTCTTGTGTAGCGTGGACTACTAGTATACAGGAACTGAAGTAGTTCTTCGCGGTGGTAAGTGATGCGAGACGTAGCGTCCTTGGGCCTAGACTGGCTGATTGAATAAGACCTATTAAATTCCTCGGAAAATATCATTAAGCAGAGGCAGAAACTTGTAATACACACACTTGAAAACATACTATCTGGTTGTAATGTACAAAACTTAATTTAGACAATACTATCACAGTAAAAACAATCAAAATACGAGACAAAATTTTGAACCGTCGTGGTCGCCGACTGAGTAGCCGCTCAACTTCA